GTAACCAGCGTCTGAAAAAACTAACAATGTATCCAGCGTCTGAAGAAAACTAATAATGTAACCAGCGTCTGAAAAAAACTAACAATGTATCCAGCGTCTGAAGAAAACTAACAATGTAATCAGCGTCTGAAGAAGACTAATAATGTGACCAGCGTCTGAAGAAGACTAATAATGTGACCAGCGTCTGAAGAAAACTAATAATGTGACCAGCGTCTGAAGAAAACTAACAACGTAACCAGCGTCTGAAGAAAACTAACAATGTAACCTTTATACAAAGAAAACTAACAATGTAACCTTTATACGAAGAAAACCAACAATGTAACCACTGTCTGTTAATCTGAAGGAAACTGAAATAAGCTTGAAATACTATAGTTTTAGAGGGCTAAGGACGTCCCTTAATTATGAGTATTTTCGGGGAATTTCACCCATCGTCAAGTTTACTGTACCTTACGGATTTGTTTTGTTGTTTTTGATACATTATCAAACTATGATGAAACGTTCGCCACGTGATTCATCTCTGAATATACTAAAATGATGTGTTTTTTTCTTCTCGTGTCTTCACAGTTATTATTATCTCTCTTGATTGTATCTTAATCAGAGTTTGTTCCTGTATTTTCGTTTAATTAAACTAGTGGCTTCCTTTTACGATTCTGTTTTACAATTAATCAGTTCAGTGCTTCATCTCCTTCCACCCAAGTTCTCCAACAGAAACAGCTTTTGTCTCTTTCAGATCCTCAGATTCATCTGTTTTAGGTGATAAAACCCTACTCTCCGTTACATCTTGTTTATACCACACGTTTCGCAAGAATAACGATTCATTTTGTCACTAACTTCCTCCATGTAAGTCCAGCGTTATAATCAATACTGGACAACCCCTAGGGGCACTCAAAACTATCATAAAATCGTTATTTTTTTACCAGTTCTCTACACAGTTTCTTTTTCTATGGTTTGGCCTTTTTCATAATTCCTACAAAAACAACCTTAAAATGAGCTCCGTTACGAGTGTCCGTACCAGAATCCCAGAAAACCTGCCCTCGAGTCTTGGTATAATCATTCACTGTATAAAATATTACAGCGTGACTTCCGTTGTGATAGGGTCAAAGATTTTCTTTTTTATCTTAAATTTTTTAACAAACGTTTTTTTAGTAACACAGTTGTGTAAGTAGGAAGCTGTGGCATGGAGCATGCGTGTAAGTATTGCAGGGCACGTGACACTGATACATTTAACGTACTACCGGTACTAATAATGGTTGGAGACGGCTTGAATGGGTGATGAAGGAAAAACTTTAATATAAGTTTAACATAGCAGCAAATGCACAACGTACCTGATGATGACAAAACCTTGTCGAAACGTTGTACATTTGCTGTTATGTTAAACTTATATTAATGTTTTTCTTCATTACCCATTCAAGCCGTTTCCAGCCATTATTAGTCTCAAAGTGGGTTCCTCATCACCAAATTTAAAGGATGCCTTGCAGAGAGGGTTAAAAAAGAGAACATTTTGACATTCTATATTCAGCTTGTAATGAAAATTGTTTGCCATCAAGACACTATATTCATCTATTTAGGCCCATGATTCTTCATTTAATTTTAACTATGAAGTTTAAGTAAAAGAAATATTTTATGTGCTTTAAACCCTGTTTCTCTACTTTTGGCTTTTAGGAGATGGACAATCAGTATTGGGTTAGTGGTCGTACCGAAGAAGAAGCACTTGAAAAAGCTGCTAAAAGATTTAATGTTGATGCACAGAAAATATCACTGAAACAAGGTATGGTTAAAA